TCACTGTTTGGGGTTCTTTTCCTCAGCCCAAGGAAGCCCAACGTAAGAGGAATTTTTTCAAACCCAAGAGAGTAGCTGTAACAGTCAGGCAGAAAGTGCCAAATCCTATGCATTCCCGTTTTGCATGGGGATGCATAGAATTTCCTTGGCCTCCTTGCTTCTTATTTAGTGGAACCCTCCTAATGATTCTTGATTGGCCTTGAAAAGGCAATCAGCATGATCAGAAGTTGTGCATGGAATGCAGCACATTAGCTCCGCAGGAGGAGTAATTACTGAATGCATATGAAAATGTCAATACTTGGCAATCCACGCTGGCTGTCGGTAGACCAAACCGCCGTGCTTTGCTTGTGAACTAATTAAATGAGTTGGCGGAACAGGAGTGGGTGGAGACATTCAGATGAGACTGGGCCAACACGCTTCACAGGTTGTTTGGGCTTAAGCAAGCGTTCCATTGAGGCAGGGCTGCGGAAGCACTAGGGAGGGTGACCCATCCCGCCCAGACCACTTCTTGGACTTCCTCCAGGGGGCAAGACGCAGTGAGACTTGGAGGGACCCTTGGAGCCTTCCAGGACTCCCTGAGGAATCCCTCGGAGGGTATCCCTCGGCTGTCTCTGATCTGAGATCGGCGAGAATAGCTGGATTTCCCTGTTGCCATGCCATCTGCTCTGTCACCTGCAATCTCCGATCAGAGCTTGCAGTGAAGATGCCCAGAGGTGGGGAATTCAGATGCCAGTCTTGGGTCAGAGACGGCAGGGGGGTGCCTGGGGTGGGATTCGGACTCGCCCTTCTGTGCAGGGGGTTCCCACCACCTCAGAGATCAGAGTGGGATAGAGAGCCAGTAGAAGTGGGATTCATCCACACGGGAAGAGTTTCCTTTCATCACATCTGGGAGTGCATCCTGGCACCCCACACACACACAAACCATGGAATAAAGGGTTAGGGCTGGGCCATGCTTAGTGGAGGGGGCAGGGTGGCCTCATCCCTTGGAGTTCTCAGCTTTTCAGGGAACTGCCCAGACCCCGACTCCAAACAGTTGCATACCTGTGACTTAAAGAGGGCACATACTACGCAACCCAATCCTGGATCTCTGAGATGCATTTCCTTCCTCTTTGGTCTTTGAGATGCACAGGCAGATGCATCCCAATTTTTGTGCCCTCTCTGTCTCTGCAAGCCACCATATCATGTCCCATCCTAACATTAGAGATCCTGCCGAGGCTCTTCCCCCCGGAAGAAAAGAAATGAAATTTGGGGGGCTCTGCAAAGTCTGTCTCAACACAAGCTTTGAGACAAGCTTTACAAAACACCCTGCATTCTTCTCTAGCTTAGATTAAAATCCAAGCTGCAGAATTATTTCCAGTTCCCTCATTCTACTTGCTACAAGCCCCACTTTCACAAGAACCTGCTTGTTCCCCCTCTTTCCCCCTTACTTTGCTATTGGGGGTGTGTCTGGGTGCAGGGAGAGGAGACAAGCAGAAATGGACCAATCAGCAAACCTCTGACTCAGTGACATGTGCCAAATTCCATTCTGAAGCCTGTTCTGACTGGAACCGGTATAAGCTGGCAAGCTTTCTTCTTTCTGCTTGAGAATTTGTCTGCATTGGTGTGCAATCCCCCCCCCCCCATATATGCACGTCAACTATGTTCATCTCTGAAATGTAGGCATTCCTCTCCCATTGTTGGAAGCTTCTTTGAGTGCAGTTCTTTTCAAACCTATGCATTATCATTTGCCTTTTTCAAAAATACGCATTTTCATGTGCATTTTTCAAGTGGACTCCTGCTATCAAATGCAGTTGCTTTTGACAGCAGACCAGGAAAGGTGCAAACTTTGGCCCCAGATGGCCTCCGAGATGCCTGCAGTGTAAGTGTGTGCCAGGGAAAGCCTGCCCATAAAGAAAAGGTCGGTCTGTCCCTTTGATCCCCTCTGTTGGCCCTGGAATGGTGAGCAGCAGTGGCAGTCTCTCTTGGGACTGAGGGCAGGAAGGCAGGGAGGGAGAGGAAGGAACAGGCCTTCTTCCCCCAAATCACCTGTCTTCTGCCACTTTCCCACAAGGTAAGTCAAGGTAAGAAGCGCATCTGGGCAGCTGCAGATTTGGCAGGCAGGGACAACCTTTTCTGAGCTTTGGGGCAGCTAGTAATCTTATCCAAGCTCTACCTGACTGGTGGGGAAAGGGCTCGCATAATTTCTGTGTTTTTTTGGAGGAAAACCAGGAGCAGCTGACCTATAGCATAGAATTTGTGCTATGCAAGGAATATGAGAGTCTCCATTCTGATGCAGCATCCCTTCCTGTGTTTGGGCTCTGCTTCTCTGTTTCATGTTATGGAAATGGACACCAAGTTGTGAGCTGCAGGGAATCTTCTCTGTACCACCAGCTGAACACACTGGGGAGTTTCCCTATAGTTTAGTATATATTACTCTGATATCCTGTCTTTCTTCAGTTATGCAGCAAAGCAGCATGCATCTGATGACAGGAAGTAGATCTCCAGCAATCTGAGACTTCAACTCTGAGAAGTCCCTGCCCACAAGACCAATGGGCAGGATGCATGGAGCTGAATCCCAAAATATTTCTGCCCATCTATTCCATACATAGTGACTGGGTTCACGTGGCATGACAAAAAAACCCTGGGAGGTTTCCACAGTGTACATTTTTTGCCTGGAAAAATGATTGAGTGGTTTCTATGCTAGGGTGGTTTCTATGCTAGGGTGGTTTCTATGCAAGGGTTAGGGTTTGCTGACACATCCCATCAGCCCTCTCAATCCTGCACTGGATGGCTGGAGCAGCTCCTGCAGCACCAGCTGCTGCTCCTTCCAGGGGGATCTGTCATAGCTGCAAACCAGGATTGTGGAAACCATCATGCTGTGTTCAGATGATCAGAGAAATCATGGTGAAACATGGAAGCAATAGAACAGAGTATTGTTTCTTACTGCGGTTTCTAAAAACCAAACATACCATGCTGAAGTACCATGACAGGGTTTGTGTAATACAACAGACCATCCTGCACAAGAAACCACTGTGGTGTCATAAGAACCACCCAGTGTGGCCAGCTGCTCTCCCACGGATGTTCAGCAAGGCTACAGCATGGTATGTCTTCAGGTTCTAACCCTGAGTGTATCCTCAGAAATGGCTGATATCAAACATGAAGGTGTACCTCTTACATCAGCCTTGTCTCTAAGAACCATGCCAGAAGAACAGAATAAAAAGTGATGTGTAAGCTATTCTTCACATTCATGATGACCGAAACCCACAGGGTAAGAACTGAACATCAGGAAACTGCAGTATTTCTCATACTGAAGTCTCAGTACATGGAGCTGTGGCAAACTGAGCTGAGAGCCAGTGTGGCGTAGTGGTTAAGAGCATGGGACTGGGACTCGGGCGATCTGGGTTCTAGTCCCCGCTCAGCCATGGAGCCAACTGGGTGGCTTTGGGCCAACCACAGACTCTCAGCCCAACCTACCTCACAGGGTTGTGGTTGTGGGGATAAGATGGAGGAGGAGAATGATGTAAGCTGCCTTGAGCCCTTTGTAGGAAAAAGGCAGATATAAATCGGAAAATAAATAAATGAATAAACAGCCATGCCAGAAAAGTGATGCACCAGCTGAAACTAGCTCCAGGCAAAGTCAGAAAGCCACTATTAGTAAAATATGGGCTGAAGTTATTGCATAGATGAATCCAAGAAACGCAGAGCAATGCTTGTCAAAGCTTCTGCTCAGGTTTTGGAAAAGAGAGTAAGGTTCAGGAATGCTGAGAGCTGTAGGATTATTTTCTGTCTAAACCTGCATGGGAATTCAGCCAAAAAATGTTTGTTCTCATGAAGCATTATATAGAAGGACTCCACACAGCCAATGAATTTCACCCACATTTTTCTCTGAAAATTAAAAGTGAGGAGGGGGGCATTAAATGCACTTCCTAGGAGTACTTTTGAGGTGATTGTTTGTCATTTTGTCTTTTTATCATTCAATTAATAAATAAACAATTACAGTCCTGGCCTCATCACTGAGCTACATCAAAGGCCCTTGTTTGTCCAGAACCCTGTTCCTTCCTGCAGAGATAATTACATAGGTCTGTTGCAAAACACCCAGACAGCTTCAGCTTTTGAGCAGTACAGAGAAAAAATATGAAATAATAAATAATACTAAGTATTATTATTTAATTATCATTAATAATAATAATAAATTTCCTTTTTATACCAACCATAGCCAAAGATGATGAGGAGGAGGAGGAGGAGGAGAAGAATAGATCAGTATAGCCATGAATCAAATGTGAGAGAGAGCTATATTCTCACAAATGTTTGAGAAATAGAAGACGGATACCATATCCTTCACCAGCAGGGTGAGATGTTAACTGAAGACCATTTTACTACCTGGTTACGTGCTTGCCCTGCTAAATTTGCACTTAGGAAATGAAGACACACATACACGAGCAACACACTCATCATATACACACACACACACACACACACACACACACACACACACACACACACATATACATATATATATATTCATTCCACAATCCATTAACTGACTCTGGCATCAAAGAGACTGAAGAAAAAATACAGATATTTCAGAAAAAATACCCAGATATTTCCTGTCCCCACAACACACTTTTCTTTGATGGGATTCCTACTTCGCGCTAGGCAGTTCCAATGGCCACCCTTCTTTGAAAGAATTTTTGCCTCTCTAATGAAAGGCAGAAGGCAAGATCTCAATGCGTTTTCCAAGAGAAACTTTTGCAGTCTGAAAATAAACACCACTTGCTTCATTAAAAGGGAGGAAAAGCTCATTTCTAAATCAGGAAAGATCAGTGGAGTGCGCATCCCTTCGGGGAATAAGGGCTTCTGCTCACTTCACATAAGCGTTCATGATGGGACAGCCCCATGGCACACCCAGCAAGTGAGCCCACGGGCATGGCAGGAGTCTGCTTAGCGATCTCTACCTTGCCTCTGATCAGACTAACACAACTCTCCTCTCTCTCTCTCTCTCTCTCTCTCTCTTTCTTCAGCTAACATTTTGACAGTCATCATCCTTTCCCAGTTGGTTGCTCGCCGGCAAAAGTCCTCCTACAATTACCTTTTAGCACTGGCTGCTGCTGATTTGCTGGTGCTATTCTTCATTGTCTTTGTCGACTTCTTGTTGGAAGACTTCATCTTGAAACAGCAGATGCCAGAAATCTTGGACAAAATCATCGAGGTCTTGGAATTTTCTTCCATTCACACCTCCATTTGGATTACGGTGCCTCTTACCATTGACCGGTACATAGCTGTCTGCCACCCCCTTAAATATCACATGGTTTCCTACCCAGCTCGTACGCGGAAAGTCATCGTAAGTGTCTATATCATTTGCTTTCTGACCAGTATCCCATATTATTGGTGGCCCAACATTTGGAAGGAGGACTACACAAGTACCCTGGTGCATCATGTCCTCATCTGGATCCATTGTTTCACCATCTACTTGGTACCCTGCTCCATTTTCTTCATCTTGAATTCAATCATCGTCTACAAACTTCGACAGAAGTGCAATTTCCGGCTGCGGGGGTATTCCACGGGGAAAACGACGGCCATCTTGTTTTCCATTACCTCCATTTTTGCCATACTGTGGGCCCCGAGGATTATCATGATCCTGTACCACCTTTACGTCTCACCGATACACAACAGCTGGTCTGTCCACATCGTTTCTGACGTGGCCAACATGCTGGCGCTCTTAAACACTGCCATCAATTTCTTCCTGTACTGTTTCATTAGCAAGCGGTTCCGCACCATGGCCGCCGCAACCCTCAAGGCCTTCTTTAAGTGCCAGAAACAGCCTGTGCAGTTTTACACAAACCATAACTTCTCCATAACAAGCAGTCCTTGGATATCGCCTGCCAACTCTCACTGTATCAAAATGCTCGTTTACCAATATGATAAGAACGGAAAGCCTATAAAGATATCACCCTGAGAGCCATCCTGAAGGTTATCGATGGATGTGAGTTCTTTTCAAACCATTACATCAATGGGATGTAATTGCTAAGGTGGTCACTGCGAAAAGCAGTGGGTTTCCTTTCTCTTCGGGAGCTGGAAGATTGCTGGGCTAGAACTGTTAATAAAAGCCTTTGATACTGAGGAGAAAGAAGGAGATGGAAGGCAAAGGAGCGTCATCTTCCACAGGGCGCTGTGAAACAAGGGTCTTTCAGGATGGACCGTTTCATGTCCAAGTGCCGGTGCCAAGCAAATTTCAGGGAGAAAAGCTACCATAATGCATACCTGCAACTCTTTGAATGAACCGATGTTGTATCGACACCCAGGCTGAATGATTTTCTATACTGATGGAGGTATTTACAAGATAGGCCCTTGCGTGTTTTTCTTTTCCTGTTTTGGGTTCATTCTGGCATGGAATTCTATCACACTGATTTTCTGTTGTTGAGAAAAGGAAGCTAGCCATCCGTAAAATCTTTGTACGGTGCATAACACTAATCTTTGGGAACTGTGTGGAAGCATGATCCAGAACTCAGAGTTGCCTTGTTAGATGTCACCATGTGCAGCAAAATGAATGTTGCCGCAGCTGTCCATAATGACCGTGGGTGCTGCATTTTATGCCATGCAGAAGATCATTTTGCAAAAAAGGAGGGAGTTCGTGAGCAGAGAACAGCAGCAGCAGCAACCTCTGAGCAGTCATTTTTAGTTGGATCTTTGAAAGCTCAGTGTGAAGGCTGGCAAGGTGCTTTATTCCCGGTGTGACACTGAATTATTTTGTGATTTTTATGGAGTCTGTCAGTCCCACTGGGGCCTGATGAAACCACAAGACCTTCCTTGGATAGATTCTAAGTAGTTCTTTGTACACTCCTGAAAACCCAAGAATGTATGGTAAGTGGGTTTTTCTCTCCATGAGTTCCAGCATGTAACCCTTCATCTTTAAGAGTTACAAACACACACAAACTGTTTATGGAAGTAACAGAACAGAGACCTCCTGGCTTTCTGGTGAAGAAGGATGCTATAGTTTGGGCAATATATTTAAAACTATTCCATGCAAGGAAGTCTTCAAACGTTCTGGCTGAACAACCTGAGGAATGTGTATGATAACCAAGAGTGGATTCAAGATTTTGGGAAGATGTGAAGGAGGAAATATGTCAAGTTTATTATCCCTTGTTGAATAGCTGTGTTGTCGGGCAGCTAATGCTGTCCTTAAATTATCACAAATGTAATTCCCAGTGCAGCAAGTTCCATCCTATGTGTGGAATTTTGGCGATTCGGGGAGCGCATGAGTGAACAGTTCCACTTCCTTTGTCCACCATGACCCCATTTCTGTGGTTTCTTACTTTCATGAACAGTGGTGTGAACTCCACCAGAAACAGCTAAAGGTGGTTGGGGGGGGGGGGCTATGTGAGCATGGATGCTTTCAGAGTCCAGCAGATGGAGCAAGGCCTGCATGTCACAACGTGGTTACAGTCCCTACACATGACTTTGGCCAGTGACTCATTACTGAATGAGCAGTGCTCATTTGTGGATTCAGGCACACGAGCATCTTAGGCACTTCTGGTGTTTTAGCTTCTAGAACTGGGCTAGAGTTTGGGATTGCTTTCCTGACTATGTGGCAAAGGACTGCTCCTATTTACATGTGCATGTTTGCCCTTGGGATGTCTCTACACAGGCACATTGCTAAACCTGCGCGCATAGGGTCCTGACCTCAAATTTATTTACCAGGACTTCAGTTGTGTTTCCCATGGCCCCAGATCCATTTCCCAGGGCCCCAGATCCATTTCCCAGGGCCCCAAATCCATTTCCCAGGGCCCCATATCTATTTCTCAGGACCCAGATCTATTCCCCAGAGAGCTGAGTGTCCATTGGTGCCAATGAAAGACTGGGGAGGTTTGTTTGTTTTTTCCTTAGCCTCCTTGCATACAGGCATGCAATTTTCAAAGTAGATTGTGGCGATGGGAGGCTTAACTCTTTTTCCCTCAGATGGTGCAACAGACATATCAAAATTATCCCTACATGGCAATGAAGCTGGGAAAAACTTTTTCCGTTGTTTTGTGATGATCTGGGGCAGAGTGCAAATGAATTGAACAATCTATTTTATTTGAGATTATATGGATGAAAAATGAATTTGTCTACCATGAAAGATAAATAAACCTATTAATTATCCAAATGATATACATCAAGATGTGCAAATTGTGTGCAGATTTGTGTCCTTTGGGCTGGGGGCCAGATCTTCTAATTTACCTAGCAATGCACCTTTTTCTCTTGTCTGACTCCCAACGACTTAACTTTCCTGTGTGTTCTGTGGACAAGGAAGGAAGAAACCAAGGAGAACCAGAAAGAGGCAGGAAAGACTGGTTAAGATTTCTTGTTAATGCAACTTTTAAAAGATATCCTTCATATGAAGCATCTTGCCCTTTTGTATCCTCACAGGCAGGTCAGATCTGACTGCACGATTTACCTATGCTTGATTCTGAGAAGCTGCCTGCCATGGTTAAATGCCCCACAATGCCCTGGAGTGCCCATTGTAATGGCATGACGCTACAAGATATTGTGGGAAATATTCCACGGTGAGCTTTTTTACATGAGGCTGTTAATGTACTGTATCCACTTTCAGTTGCATCACACAATGGAGATCCAAGCACTGCACTAAGAGCATTGCCTTTCCTGCTTTTCCATCCCCTAACCTCTAGATGGCAGTATGGTACAGCAGAAATACCCAAGTGGAAAATTGTTTTCTTTTGCTCTCTCAAATAATACTGCATTTTCTCTGCTGCAAAAAGATTCACCAAAAGTGCTGTTCAAAAACAGAAGCAAAGCTGGAGGTCATGACATCACCTAAAGAACCCTAAAGAATAATGCAGTTACATGTGGAAAAAGCATTCTCTTTTGCTTTCACAAATAAAACATCATTTTCCCTACCTAAAAAAGCTTGCCAAAAGTACTTTTAAAAATAGAAGTAAAAACTGAAGGGCCACAACATCATCTAAACAACTCAGAGAGCCGTTGTGGTGTAGTGGTTAAGAGCATGGGACTGGGACTCTCAGGCAATCTGGGTTCTAGTCCCCCCTCAGCCATGGAGCCAACTGGGTGACTTTGGGCCAGTCACAGACTCTCAGCCCAACCCACCTCACAGGGTTGTTGTTGTGGGGAATAAGATGAACAGCAGGAAGAGAGTTATGTAAGCAGTCCTGAGTTCTTTGCAAGAAAAAAAGGTAGGATACAAATCTAATAAATAAATAAATACCCATGACAATGTTTACACGGTAAAAGCCTCATATAGAAAAGCTCTCACATAGACCGATCCTAAATTTCTCTGTTCCCTCCACTTAATAGATTTCCTTTGCAGCTGGATATTAATCAAACTTTATCTTTGAAAGAGTCTGTCATCTTACAGATGTCTAATGGATGCATTATAATTCATTGGGCACTTGCCTGAAAGAAGGCTAAATGCAGAAGGAACATGTTTGCATGCATGTCATAGTGCAATACATACTTGTCGGGGGTTTTGAAAATGCGCCTGATAACTGGGAAGTGGGTGTTAAGTCATTTACATTCAGCATTTCACTCTTCTATATTAGCAACCTTATATAAGCAAATGAATGTTTAATTTTGTTCTTTTAAAGAAAAACGCTATTTAAACTTCAAATATAGAAATCAATGGCTATATATTTTTCTTGCTAACAATAAATATGGATCTTCCTCAGTATTTGCATTATGGGGACCCCGAGGCCTCTGTGCTTTTGTGAATGCCTCTCTTAGTTACTGATCTGATTTTTGCTGCTATTGGAAGGTGCATGGTTTGGTGGAAAAAATGACAAGAAATGGGGACAGGGCTTATGGAATCAAGACCTCCCCCCCAACACACACACACACTAGTTGGTATGTTCCAATTCACAAAATTTTCAAATAAGGTTACATTTGTTCTGGCAAGAGCTTTCATGAGCAATCTGCCAGGAGACATGTGATTGATTTAGTTCTGGATTACCCAATAAGCAAAGCTCTGTGAGATCCTAGCGTACAAAGTTTAGAACGGTGTGCGAAGCCAAAGCTAGTGACGGGCAGATCCACAATCAAAAATGGAAGAATAATCCCTTTTATCCCCCTTTCTGACACTTGCTTTGTCCCTCTACTCCTCCCCCTTCTCTTCCCCCTTCTCTCTCTCTCTCTCTCTGTCTCTGCCTCTCTCTCTCTCTGTGCCATCTCCTTTCTCGTTCTCCATCCATCTTCCCAACCAGCAGGCTTCCGAGGAAGGGCTGGATTGCTCCTGCCAAAGGTGGAACTGACCATGAGCCACAAGGACTCCCAGCCAGCCTTAGGACCTCAAGTTGCCCACCTGTGTAGATGCTGTGGGTTGAAAATGTGCATCTTAAACTCACAAAGCACATTTCCCATCACAGGACTATTCTATGGCCAAGTGACACGTCAGCTCCATCATTTAACTTTTCTCTTGGCTGTTTTGAATTAAGGACAACTGACCGAAAAGGTCAAGAGAACTACTTAGACTCCTCCAATGGTGACATGATTGACAGAGAAATGGTTCCAAATGCTCCATGTATCATATAGCTAGGAAAACGTTTTCTTAGAGATGAGTCACCAAAAATGATTTCTCCTTCGCTACAGTCACTCATACATAAGTGCAAATTGTTGCATGCCGCGATTTTACGGATGAGACCAGAGACTGGTTGGAATTTTCGAGAGAAGAAGTTTATTTACCTGCAGGGACCAAGCACTCATTGGAGTGTGGTCTCGAGCAGAAGGAAGGCGGTGGTTTTTATACCCTTTTCCAACTATGCTTGAATAACAGCGAACAATAGGGGAGAGCCACCAAGCCCCATTTGCACATTTATCGTGCTAAAGCAAGCAAGCGAGGGTACAAGGGCGTAACGTCTGCGGTATGCCGGAGCGTAGCCTGCTTTGTTGTCAGCCTTGCGTAGCGTGCACATCCTTGTTCTCACGCGAACAGGACACCCTGACCATGCT